GAAGCAAGGCATGTTGGTAAAACAAAAGCCTTCCTATATTGCTGGCATTGTTTTGCTTCCTCCTGTGATCGAGGAAACAACTGAGCAGTGGGCTGAAAAGGGCATCCTTTTCTCTGTGGCCACCGATGCCTAAAACAGAAATACAGTGATGGTTGCTTTCTGCACAGGGGAATACTTCATCTCCTGCATGATTTCCTCCAAGACAGCAACATAACTGGTTAGGAGAATTTGATCATGTTAAATTGTGTGCTACTATCAAAAGCTTTGGAGTTTGAGAATCCATCACATTTATATCCGAATATTAATTTAGGAGAAACAATTCTGTAAATTAACGAAGAATCAGAAAATCAGGATTGGCTTCCAGTTAAGCACTGGCATCATGTGCAACAAAATAGGTAAGTAATGGTATAATTTCCATTTGTGAAACAATCTGTTTCCATTAAACTTTCTTGCCAACCAAATAAATTTAAGAATTAAAACATCTCCATTGTTCTTCTGACTTTATTCCATGAAGCACTGCAGGATAATCCCAGAATACTGACATTTTGTAGAGTCCAATTATTTTTTTTTTCAATTATTAGAACTGGCTGTTGCACATCAGTGATTTCCTCATCATGTGTCCATTTTTTCAGAATGATGAAGGATACAACAGAGACACTCCCAGTGACTGAAAATTTATTTTGTTCCTTTTCTAATGCACTAAACGGTACTGATAGTGTATCTTAAATTTAGACTGAATCTTGTATGTGCTGATGTTTCCATGGTAGACTAAGTGGCTAATGTCACTCATAGTTTAGCTCTTATCTAAACCCATGATTGCAAAGCAGAAACAAATTGAAACAGTCTTCTTTGCACAATATACATGCATGTTCAGCTACCTTCATTCAAATATTGATCTGTAAATAAAAATTATTTGGAAAAACTGAAGAATTCCTCAAGGGTTGAATGCTTATAAAAAGCGGCATTTCTATGTGCTTTAGAAAGCACTGGAAGATCACTATAGAGATGTTATCTTCTGACATCCCTGTCCACCATGCCCAGCTTTAGTGCTCAGAATTACAACCAATATAAAACCAAGGAATTGCCATTCTCTGGCCATGAATTTTGGTGCAAGTCTGCATGGGGGAACTTCAGACCCAGGTTTAACTATCCCAGTTTACCTTCCAGTAAAGGTGATCAGCAGTCACCAGGTACACACCTTAGAAGCACACTCATTTAAAGACTTCCTCAGTCCACAAGAATTTCATCCACTGCGAACCTTTCTCTATAGGGGCTTTTTTTCTCTGTAGGTCTCCCTGTGATTCAAAGCTGAGTCTTAAGTTAATTGGACTCATTCCTCTCTGTTCCTTTCTAAAGGCACTGGATTTACAGCTATCATCATGAAATCGGTTTGTCTTTCCTTCTAGTATGTGAAAATCAGTAACAGTCTAGATGGTAGAGGGTGCTGAAGCATGTGAATGCACTTAATTTATGTCAGTCTTTTGACTGCAGAACATACATTCATCAGAGGAGCTGTGTGGCTACAGTGATGGCAACTGGTATTTAAAACCCAGTACTAGTAAATCACAGCAGATAAAACAAATCTGATGTATTACTGCAGCTCAGGAGTGACATTTGACCTTTGTACTACTGTTCTGACACTGAAGTTAGTAATGCAGTTTTGCGCCTTAAAGCAGCCCTGTTCTCAGCAGATCATAATACTTGATTCCTGTTTGGCAAAGGATCAATAAAAACAAGGTAACTTTCAGAAAATCATTTTATACTGTAAATATATACAACTAAAGTTTAAGTGCTGACACACCTGTTAAAAATCCAGTTTTTAACAATGTTATATGAGGTGCATGGAGGAGCTAGCTGGTCTTTCATGTTCACAGGCTCACAGCTGTTCACATGCAGTAAAATATGACTGCGGCTGTGTCTAATACAGACTGCAAAAATCTGCATTGTGATACATTTTAAAAGTCCAAGAGCTTCGAAGGAAATCAGCAGCCTCTTCTTAGGTATCAGGGAAGCTCCTCTCCCTGTCTTTAAGAACACACTTTCAAGATCCACATTCAGACCCGTACGGAGGATCATCAATAGGTGGGATGAGAAAGTCTCTTCTGTTCCTGAGGCTGCTGGGCTGGGCAGTGAGATCTCTGTGTCAGCAGCACAGCCTGAGAACATGGAAGTTTGCAGCTCGGTTAACAAAGCGAGTACTGAGTCTCAGCCTTTCCTCTCTGTCCTTGTTGTATTCTGTATTACATTAGCATTGATAAGTTGCCAGAACAAACAGAGAGGTGCCCAGTGAGTATAAGTATCTGCTTTGTTTGCAGCCTCTGAAGAGATGAGGTTTTTAACTGTGGTTTGCAATTTGTGGTACCCAAACTCTCCCCAGTCCCAGGATCTCAATAAATGTCCATCATAATACTCCACAGCTGGTAACTAAAGTCTCAAAATGCTACACACAGGAAATACCTCAAATACCCTACAACCATGCTGCAAGATCATCTACCAGGTCAAATCTGTGAAATCCAAGTAGCACTGGTATCTACCATGTCACTCCCTTACACCAGTTGCACTACACCTTTCACCTCTGCACTGTGTCTGTTATGAAGCAGTTCAAGTATCTGCTGGGCACTTTGCATACTTGTGCTCTCTTCGTTCTTTCTAAAATTAGTAGGCATACCGTATTTGAAGAAACCAAACACCACTTGATCCTTCACAAAGAAAAGACTGGCACTGTAAATATATTTTTGTATTTGTACAGGGTGCTATTTCTCATTTACCAAGTTTTCACGGTATGGACTGAAGAGAAACTTCTCCTTTATTTAGCACAAAATCAAAGGAATCAAAATTTTGTGTTTCATGGGCCCAAATCATAATTTAATCAGACTATTTTAGATATAATTCAAGATGTGGATGTATACTTTAGGGTTTTTTAAAAAGCTTGGTCAGCATTTTCAGATAAAAAATCTTTTATCTGGCATACTGAAACTTCATTCTAGCTGTAGAGTAAGAACACTGATAGGAGGTGTTAAGAGATTTGGAGAACCTTGAAATGGTTTAAGTTTTAACAGGCTACAGTGAAACCAGAATTTGTTGAATTTAAAACACCTGTAATATTACAATTGCAAAACCAATGCTGCATGAGCCTTGCTTGATCTTTGCCTCAGTGAGACAGCCTTCAGATGTATTCTGTTCAGCACATCAGCTCAGTTTTGACAGTAGTTCACATTTTGTGCTTGCAACACCGTGAACTGAAAGAATTTCCCAAGGAGCATTCTGAATCGCATCTCCCATCTCCAAAAGTGTTGCTTCTAGCACTGAGGCTTCATTGACTTGCAGTAAAATAATATGAGCAGTTGGGAAGGCTCCCTTTCCATTAAAGGTGAGATTAAAAAACCCCACCACCCCTATCATACAGATTTCCTCCAAAATGGGAAGCACTGATGAATAGATGCACATATATATACACCACCACCTGATCATTAGATGGTACTCTGCAAATACTGCAATGCAATTTCACAACCATCTGGGCTACTAACCTTAGCTGGCTCTTCAGGCAGGAGCTGGCCAAACAGGGCAGGACTTCAACACCAAATTCATCCCCATGTATACACAATCTGTCTGTTCTCCTCCCCACCTTATGTTTCCTGCAGAATCTGAGTTGGTTCCGGGATTTCAATTGCAAGAGAGGAATAAACTTCTCTCATCACTGACCAGTATATAACATGTGTTCAAGGGCTTTCTGAAGGTAGGTGTTGAGACAGCTTACACTAATGAAGATTTGTAAATGCAGGAAGATATAACTTCTTAATTCTTCTGTAATTTGTTTTTTCTTTAAATCAAGCAGAGGAAATCACATGCAAGGAATGCCACATAATGCAAGACCAGGATTGCAAATTTGGCCACTGAGACAGCAGGACATGCACAAGGCAAGGTACAAAACTCACCTTATCGTGCATAAATGATACAAGGATCATCATTGCAATCTCAAGATTTTTAGCTGCAGATATATCCAAACTTCACCTCCCAGATAATACAATATAGCAAGGGGAATAGTAAATCATCTATCAAAAGGTAAAACATTAAATAACAACTTACTCTACAACAATTGCACGGCTTTTTGGAAGATATACAATACAGTTCAAAATATTTGAAGCTCAAGGCAAGAATAATCAGAAACATTCAAGGCATATATGATAAGAAAAGCCAGACTAGATTATCATAATCTTTCACCTATAAAATGTATCAAAGCCAGAAAGAAAATAGTCCCTATAAAAACATAATGTTCTCCATAAGGTTTTGCCTGTAAGATAAAATATCTTTAGTCTCTCTTCTCAATAAAGGCATCCACAAATGTATGAAAAAGAAAATGAATGCTATGCTCCCATTTTGAGCTATAAAGATTTGCAAATAAAACAAAGAAAGATACACCTAAATTCATAGACTGACCTCCTTAAATTGGATTAAGCAAGCAAATAATTTTAAGTAGCTTTAATAATATTTGAGGCTACTTGTATTACACAGAATACTGTCCTGACTTTGATACAGATATATGCTAATGTGTCCTTACTGGTGCCAGTTTAAACAACAGTAAGCCAGGAATAATGCCACTATTGGTACATCATCTCCATAAGTAATTTTCTGAACTGGCTGTAGTAGCAATTTTTCCAGTTATGCATCTGTTGCTTACTGCATTTTTGGCTACAATTCTGCACACTGTCATTACAGTTTTGAAATACAAAAGACTCTACCAACAGCCAAAAAAAAGACACTGCAATTCAAAGTTAAGAATGCTAGTAGATTCACGCAGGACAGAAAGACAGAAGCCAGTGAACTGCACTTTCCAGTACACACTCTCATCAGAGTTACTTAAACATGGAACATTTTAGGTTGGTTGCCTTTTATTATTGCATAACTTTACCAAGGTTATCAGTTGACCTGTGACCATACTATTTAAAGCTAATTGAATACTGACATATGTAAAGACAGATGGAGAAAACACACCAAAATGCTTGTATTTGTCCATATGAATCTATTGTGTTATTTAATAAATTTCTAAAAGAACCCAAAACCACTTACTGTCTTGAGATACGAGCTATTTTTATCTCATGCACAGAAGAAATTAATTGGTCTGACTACAATGAGAGATAAAAGTGATTCTCTGTTAGTGTGTTTTTAACTAGCATCACATACAGTGCAGATGTATAAATCAGAGCACAAATTCAGCTTCATGTTCTTCACTTCATTTTACTTACCATCAGTTCCTATTTTACTTTTAAGGTCAGTACAAGACTGGAAAGGACACAAGAAAAAACTGAATATTGAAGAATACTTCTTTAGTCATTAGTTGTTTGTAATTTTAATGGTGTTAGACTTTAGCATATTTTTGAAGCATAAACTAGTTAGCTTTACAATGTTCAAATATTGTTAATCTTAAAAGACCGCTCATTTGAAGCCTGCACTCTGCCACTCCATTTACAAACTGCCCCTACTCCTTTACACTTGATGATGCCTTGTTTGCAGTGTCTTGGTCAGGATACAAATAGAGTGGGCTCTGCAATGAATTTGCTCTTGGAGGTGGTTGTGTAGCAGTCAGTCTTTCAGAATTTCCTGGAGAATTCTCCCTCCACCTTAGACTGGCCCGCTCTTCAGACATTTCCCACACAGATGGGCATGGGGAGGTAAAATTCATGGTGGATCGTGAGAGGTAGTTCTCCTGAAGACCTTCTTCTTGGAGGCACCTGTTAGAAAGCACTTCTTTTTCTTTGGAGTTTCGCCATTTCATCCTTCGATTCTGAAACCAGATTTTCACCTGTTTGCAAATTAACAAGAGTTTATTATTATTATGCTTTGCTTTAAACAACTTTGCCCTAACAAGTGTTTTTTTCCTTTTCATCCTCTTAGTTTCACATTCCTTCCTTATTTGTTGTTACAGTAGAGAACCAGTGAAGCCAGCTGACTGATATTATCTGAGGATTTTCCCATCACTATTTACTACACCTGGAACAAATACAAATATTTGCCTTGACTTTCACCACCTACAATAAATTACTTAGCTTAGAGTGGAAAATGGACAGCCCAATAGCTAGGGATAGAAGAGTTTCCTACAAGCAACATCCTTCTTGACAGAAGGGAATTCCCAGAGAAAATTAGTATCATCATTAAGGAAACTAAGTGATATGACTGGTGGTGTGAGGGCCTCTATTAAGTAGAGGCTGTAAGAAGCATGACTGTCCCTTTCACAAACATAGCTAAAATCAGCTTGGCCATACAGAAAAGTGTGTTGTGACATAGGAGACAGGATTGAGGATTTAGAGACATTTTGTCTGCCTGACTACAGTTTTCCAGGAGTTGCCTAGAACTCATGTGATTTTGAGATAAAATAAACTTTTCAAAAACTTTGAGTTGCAATTCTTAATACAAGCATTCAAAGGCATTTATGAAATGCTGGGGAAAGCTTGGGGGAATATACAACCAGGAACTGGTTTTACATGAAGAGAAGAAAGGTAAGGGTGATCAATCAAATTATTCAGATTGTGTTCTCTTTTCCCTTAAACATTTGCATTTAGGTCTAGTATTCAGATACTTGATATGAAGACAAAGGTTTGAGAATCATTGTCTTAGATGACAGGTACTGTTCCTCCAGCACAACTGATCAGAAAATTGAAGAAGTAACCTTCACAGAAACTTCTCTTCCTTTCACGGGGGGAATAAAAAAAGAGACAAATATCATCTGGTCTGTCACTATCACAAAATTATATTCTTGTAGTGGTAGTGGTTATCTATCTATCATTACATAATTTTTTACACACCCAAGCTCTCTTGAATAACATGAGCACAGAAAATAATCTCAAGGAAATAACTGTAATACTAGGAATTTGACTACATTTTGGGAAATTTCTTAGGCAGCACACTGCTGAGCGCAATTGTACATTTTGATTGCAATAGTTTTACTGCAGAGATTACAGTTCTGTACATCACACTGAGAAACACCACACTCTGCTTGTTTCTGTGTTTATTGCTGCAGTGCTTGCAACAGTGTCAGAGTCATCAGGTTGCAAGGAACCACCACAGACCACCAGATCTAACCTCCTGTGCAAACTGGAGCTAACTGCAAAGTTAGATCAAATTGTTGAGAGTCTTTTCAAGTTCTGAAAATCTCCAAGATAGAGATGACAAGAGTTCTCATCACCACTCTCAGGCTTTTCTGTCCCAAGATAGCTTCTGCACATGTATCTTAAGCACTTTCAATCTTACTGCATTCAAAGAAACAAAATTGTACTGTCACGTCTCAGTATTTCATCTGCAATCTAGAGGGCTGCATCTACTCCAGCACCTTCAGAATCCTACCTGTCAGCAACTACCATGTTCATTTTCTGCTGTTACATGCCCTCACAAACTTTTTCCTCCCAGCTTCTTTCAGATTTTGTGCTCTTCAAGCCAGGCACTTTTCCTATGTTTTTATCTGCAGATAGGCGAGGGCCCAAAGATTCCCGATTGTGCTACTGCTGCTCAGCACCACTATTAATACAGCTGTTCAGTCAAAACAGCTCACTGGAGGCATTAGACCCTCAGCTAAACTCTAAAATCCTGCAGCAGACCAACTCAGACTCATGCAAAAAATCCCATGAAATGGGAATTGGCAAGTAAAGTGGGAGTGTTTTAGCAGGTCACCCTGCAAAGTTTTATTTCTTATGGTATCTCTCAGCTCTAAAAATCTCTTTGTGCAGTCAAGTGTCTTTCCATAGGGATGGTTGCCTGTCTGTTGCAGAACAGTTCCAGAGGAAGTGCTGTTGACTGCCTTGTCCCTAGTTGTTCATTTGTGAGGGCAAAGGGTGGAATGAAGGAATGATCTATGCTCTCATGTTTTGCCTTTAGAGCAGTGGGATGGAGCATAGTTCCCTACTATGCTCCATCCAAAGACTCCAAGGGAGCTCTGTCGGACAGCAAAAAACAAAGGGAGTTGGAAATGAAACACAGTGGTCATGTTTCTTTGTGTGAAAATGGAGCCATCAAGTTTTGAATGTGCACACACAGAAAATAAACCAGGAAACTGTTCAATTATTCCCTAGTTTAAACTGCCATTGGTTTACTGAGGTCTTTGCAGGTAAAAGAGCTCAGGGCTGCCCCTGCACTGTTCAGTTTTCCTCCTTCAAAATAATTTTAAAGATTTCTCCCCAGAAGTACATTTCTTACCTGAGACTCCTTTAGACCCAGGTTAAGGGCCAGTTTCTTCCTGTCTGTTTTACTAATATACTTCTGCTTCTGGAACATTTTCTCCAAAGCTTTCCTCTGGTCTTCAGAAAAGACAGCTCTTCTTAATATGCCTCTCCGGGATTTGGAGTTAGACTCTTGGGTCAGAAGAGGCAGCACACTTTCCTCCCCTGTTGGAAATAGATGAGAATTTCCCAAAACATCTAGCACATATCAGAGAAATATTAAGTGCTGTTCATTATAATGTTTGCAGACTCTTGTCCCACTTTTGATTTGTTGGTGTTGTAAGTGTGTTGTAATGCTTCAGTCATGCTCATTAAGGATTAAATCCTCACTTGGATATAGAGGTGCTGTCAGTAGTCAAGAGTCTCCCCCTGACATGGTACAAAGAAAATCAGATGAGTTCATAAAGGAATATTAGGACAGAGGCTACTGCAAAATTCAAATACAGTCAGGGAGGAACTTCACTTTTCTTTGCCTGTCATCACCACTGAGTAAACTGTAACAAGTTTTCCTATGAGTTTATTTACTCCTTGTGTGGAATGTAAAATGAGATAAAAGTGGTCTGTAATAGTGATTCCAAGAAACTAAGTAGGCTTTCCTCTATTTTTTTTTAACTAATGAAAGAGTTTCAGGGTGATCTATTTCTCAGAAAATCCCTGGTCATTCACTTAGTTATTCTGGAAACTACAGCAATTTTTGTATTAGAGGATTTGGAGAGTACTTGGACTTACTTCTTTCAGCCTGGTTTCTAATCCTTTGACATCTCATACCAAGTCCTGGCAGGGCAGCTTTCAGTGTATCCAATCATATCCCCTTAATGCACGCCTAGAGGGAGCCCTACCCTGGAAAACAGCCTCAAAGCTGGGGGACAGAGCTGCAGTGAAGAAGTAGAACTGTTTACACAAAGAGGACAGAAATCCCAAGATAAATCTCTTGCGTTCCTCACACCCAATAAAACCTAAAGCCGTAGTGCTTTCCCATGCTCCCTCTTCTCTAGGAAGATATGGTGTATGAGAAGCAGTCCTTGGTGAGGCTTCATATGCTTCCAGCTTCCTCAAATACTCAGGAAGCAGGAACAGGGATCAGTTGAATAGGGCCTGTCATCAAGCAGGGCATGTGATAATTAGGGAGATGCAAGAAGGCCACGAAACAGCTGCACTTTGGCTCAGAGACCTGTGCCATGGCTGTACAGCCACTGGCACCTACAATCTTGCTGTAGGAGTGGCAATTCAGATGCAAGCTGCCCTCTTGCTGTCCACCACCTTCTCGAGTCCACGGGCCTAGACTGCCCTCCCAGCTTACAGTTACAGCAGCGGCGAAGGTGTGCTGCTGCTCAATTCCCACAAATTCGTATCAAAGCCAAAAGCAAATTCTCCCTGAAAATCAGATTTTCTAAAATACTAAACTTTTTTTTTGTGTAGAAGTCTATCTATTCTAGTCAGCTGTAATGGGGTGGGTGGGGAAATGACATACATTTTTTCAATTTATATAGTGCTCTTGAAAATACTAATGAAATCCAGATGCAGCTTCCACAAACTGTCCTTGGGGCTACACCACATTTCAACTTCTGTTTATTATACATATATATATACACATGGGTATATGTATCTTTAAACACCCACAGAAAAACAAACACACATATACTGAGGATATTGTAGTATAATGATGAGAAACTGAAGTGTATATCTGTGTCTTGCAAAGTTGACTAAATACTTTTGTAGCCATATGTTACTGGTAACACATGATATTGATATTACTTACACTGCCCCTGCATCCTGCTTCCAGCTCTGACCAGTAGAGCAGAGCATGAGAAGCTGAGCAAGTGTACAATGATTATTCCCTAAAATAAAACTACTCCTGTGAAACGTTACTGATTTAGAGCCCATTGCATTCTGTCAATTCTTTTCTTGAACTTCTCATGTCAAGAAATCAAGATGTTTTTATTTGTCACTCATGACAGCATGTGGTAAAAAATAATTATTATGATTTGCAATGTTACAGTATAAATAATCCTTAATCTATATAGATGTACTTCAATTTTCAAAATTTTATCTAAGACCAGATACAAAAATCATAGCCTACTGGTTAATGTCCTGATATTTATTACACTGTGATACACAGTCAGACTTCATCCAAATCACAATAAACCTTCTGCAGGACAAAAGTCGAAATACCACAATGGAAGGGCAAGCCAGGATGGTATTTCTCTGGGGACTGCAGAGCCCCTTCATAACCCTCACTGCATGCTCCAATCACGTCTACAAAACTGGGAGCAAGCTGGGAGCCTTCCTTCCTCATGCACGTTTTCTTTCTTTCTTCTCAAACTTAGTGAATTTAGGTACCTTTTTCCAGGTAGCCTCTGAGTAGTTTCTGCTGAATTGTCAGCATTCTCAGCTTTACTGGAAGGTACAGTCTGAGCCAGCAGCAGAACTGGTATCTTCTCTCATCCCCACTGTGGGATGAGAGACACCAGCAAAGGAAGAGGCGTAACAGGGCTGGTCCTTGCCTCCCGGCCTCCGTTCCACAATGGAGTTGTCAGCCAAGGACAGAGGACGCCAAATTATGTGACCCCTTAAAATTTGTCTTGCCTGGCTGGTTGTTAACAGTCAATCAGCAAGGAAACAACCTCCTGCTGGAGCCTCAAGGCACCAATTAATTCCTGTGCAGGCAGTATGTAGGGTCCATCTTAACACCTATATTAGACTAATAGTGAGGCATCTTTACACTCTAAGGCACAATATGTGATGGATTTTAAAAGATTAACTGAACAAAATTTAATGATGAGCAGAATGCTCAGAAGCATTAACAAACAGCCTATGGAACAAAAAATCTGAAACCTACCACCAACTGGGTAGCCTAGAGAATTTTTTTTAAATAAGCCATATTCTAAAATGCACTCCAACTGTTACACAAAAACTAAATTTCAGTTTGCGGATTATAGACCTTTCCAGTGCAGCAGGAGAGGCAGTCATTTATACATTTCAACAATTCCAGCAAAATTAAATACGTCAGTTTGCAGCTCGTCACTCTGAACATGCAGCAGGTTTAATATTCTGCTGACATAAATGTGACCAACTATTTCCTATGTTACTGATTTGATTTTTGTTAAGTCTTTCCTTTGTATCCTAATATATAGTGATAAATGTCCCCTTAATCTGTGGAACAATCTTCATTTGCCTTCATGGCAGAGACCACCTTGAAGGAGCAAGTAAAAGCTTTAGTCATGGTTTCCATTTTTTCATTAGAATTCAATACATTCTAGTTAAATGGACAATTAATAGGTCACTTCCAAAATACTAGTGTATCAGTCCTGGTTAATAAACAATCCCCACAGTTGATAATGGGCCTATGTATTCAGCAAGTCCCTGTATACACTCAGCTCATCCACTAAATCCCTTTTCAGGTAGACAGGGTTATATGGGAAGATGAGCTAGAATGAGTCTATAAAAGTCAGTTTCATTCACTGCTTTATTTTTCAGTCAAGTGCTTTAAATGGTGTCCAGAAAATCTCTTGGAATGTGAGACAGGAGAAAAGACTGGCACATAGAGTATTGCTTTATGGCCATACAAAAGGGCAACTGACCCTTGCCCAGGCCTTTTCAATGTGAAATGGTTCCTAAAGTTCATCTGCACAGTGAAAAATTGTGGTGAGGTCGCGTGTGGATGAGTAAAGTGAAAGTGGTGATTGGTCATGGTGCTGTCAGCCATTGTGGGAGAGCCGAGGCCATGTAAAACGCTCTGTGGGAAAGTGTCAGCCCCCTAAAGAGGTGCTCAGAAACTTGCAGCTCATTAAACTGCCAGCATTTGCTGCCTCACTTGTCAAGAATCATTCAACTTAGCAACTGCCCTTCTGAAACATTCATAAAAAGCATGCACTTTAGTCAGGAATGGTTTGAATGCAACTGTGATAAAAAAGTATATGCCAGAGCACATATAAGCTCCACTTTTCATTTGGATTTGACAAGAAATTTGTGCTTTTTTTTCTGTTTTCAAGAAAGAGGAAATGCCCCTTCTGTTTTCATTCCTGAGCCTTAAGCACAAAATCATGACTGTCCATTCTTACAACTTTGGTGTGCAATCTTCCCAATCAAGGTTAAATTTAGTTTTGGATTCAATGGACTCTTAATCCTGAATGGATAGTGAACACTTGTCAAAATTCTCTTTAACATACTTCTTCCATTTTTTTACATTATAATTAAAAAAGAGAAACAAAATTAAACATGTGCACACATTTGACTACTACAAAAAGAATGATTGTTGTATTTAAATAGTGCTAAAGCTTCCTGAATCATAATTTACACCCCTAACAAACATTAAAATGCAGCACACATTTTACGATCCTCCAGCTCTTTTCTTGCTTGCAAATGTTTATTGACACTGATTTTTAAAAGAGTTACTGATTTTAAAGAATTGTTTCCAGCAAACTGAAAACAAGGCACTTTCCTAGGTTAGCTCTGTCTGGGTGTCTCAATGCCATTAGAAACCTCTCACAATTGCTCAGTGTACTTAAGTTTGATAAATCTTTGGAAACCCTCTGAATAGGATTGCTGTGATTTTACTAAGGAATTAGCTGCTGCCATTGCATCACCAATTAGTTTTCCAGAACACATTAAATCCTGCTGCTTTGGTTTACAGAATAACTCAAGCATTACTGATGAAGCATAAAAACTTACTTGGAAAAGCAGTGGGGGATGCAGGGTGCTGACAGGACCCACCGCAGCATGCTGAGTAGAATGGCGGGGCTCGGAGAAAAAAGTGTTTGGAAAGAGCTGCAAAGAAAGCATAGATCTAATTGATTATCCATTGAGCTTAGGTGATATTCATAACAACAGTCCTCCAAAAAGTCAGTGTGTAAAGTCCTGCCCCACAAGTTCTTTTTCCTTTTTTCAACATGGTGATATTTTTAAGGCAAACAATGATAAACCAAGTAATTGCTCTTTAATTTAGCAAGGTTATTTTACATGCATAGCTTAGCTATAATATGCAAAACTCTCCCTATATTTATAAGAATGAAGCTCTACAGACTAGAAATGTCCTTCTGTAATTGCTGTAATTATGGGAGTTTTCCTAAATATTGGTATTGAACATTGTTTCAATAATATGTTGTTGAAATAATGAGTATAATGAATCTGAAAGTTATTTAAAATAACTCTAGCAAGCATGTCATCTTACCAAAAAAAAAAAAAAAATCAGCTGGAACTCCAATGCTGTTAACAGCACTCGAACCAATAACATCCTCAACAAGAAACCTTTAGGAATAAAATTTATAAAATGCCATGAGATGAAACAGCTGAGCTCTACAGGCACGGACTACAGGGCCTGATTCTGTTACTCTGACTGTCAACTTAGTCTTGCTGGACAACTGCTCTAAATTTAAATAAACCACTTGCTGAAGGCTCTGCTTGATACAACAAAAAAATCTGCAAAGTCAACTCACAGTATTAGGTAATATTTGGTAAATTCTTTACAGATTTTTTTAAATTGCAGTCTCTCATATCTAAAAAGAGCTTCCAAATCATGGAAAGGTCTTTATTATCTATTTATCCCTTAATTTTTTTTTTTCTATAAGGCTCATGGGATTTTAGATTAATCTTAATTACCTATCAATTTCTGCTTGTACTAGTCAACTATGAAACCTGGGATATTTTTTTGTTTTGAAAAAGACACATCATTGCTAGAACTGAACACTTGTAAAATGTGATCAGCATCACAACGTCTATGTCACTTCTTGTTTTGGTTTAGGCACAAAATAAGTGGCTCTAGAGCCCGTACTGTAGTTGTCCAAATCTCCAGGAAAAAAAAAAAAAAAAAAAAAAAAAGTAACTGCAGACTTGGATTAAAAAAAAAAAAGAAATCAACAATCAAAAAGAAAAGTAAATAGATACATGTATCTAAGCCATGCTGCTAGTTTTTAAAAGTTTTTCAACTGCAATTAAAAATAAAGATAATTCAAAATTAATTTTCCAAGTATGTATTAGGACCTTAAAATAAGTTTCCTGACCCTTAAATTTGCTGTTATCCCAGAGTAAAAAATTTATTGCTACAGAAGTCTAACTCTAAACATTTTTTAAAGTATTAACTTGCAATTACTGGTTGATAAGCATTTTGCTGTTGCAGCTTTCTATTGAAATTTTGCTGTTTCTAATGAAATACAAATTAACTGCCTGGTTTTGAGGCATATACTTGCAAAACATTTACAAAAAAGAATGATTTACAGCAGGCATTAGTATTCTAAAGGTTCTTTTCCACACAAGACCACCAAATGTGGAACCATGTCCTTAGAAACTTAAAAGCGTCAAGAACATGCAGCCAAATACTACCTATCCCATGTATCCAAAGGGTTTTGATGCAAATGGTGAAGTGTGGAAGCTGGAAAGAATCTGAGTAACACAAGAAGCACAGGAGCTGTAGAAGACAAATATCAGCCAACCTCCTGGACATTAGAGCTCGTCATTGACAGTATATTTTATCATCTGAAATTCCCAGACTCTCAGGTGAAGGAGCTTTTCCTCCCTTCCTTGGGAGGCTCATTCCTTGTGCTTTTATCAAATTTCCCTTACAGTCAAGTAAAACTCTCCACCTCTGAAAATATAACTTAGAATACAGAAGATGGCACACTCCATTCCTTTGCTTTCTTCTTAAATGCCTTGGATATTCCTTGGCTGCCATCATGTCCTATTCCCTCTAATCATTGCTCCAGCACCTTATTTATGCCATGCAATTTTTGTCAGACATGTTATCCCGTCCTTGATATTCCCTCTTGTAGTTTCTTAACTCTGTCAAGTTCCTTGCTCTGTTTTGATAATGTGGGGTTCATAATGGCATGTGATAAAAGCAGAAGACACCTGGATAAATCAAAATTGAACAAGCTATTGACTCAGATAGAGAGCATGTTCCTGCAAGTAATGACAGGAATAGGAAAGGACAGTTTCCTCCACTCACTACATCTCTCAACAAGTAAGCTGCAAGCACAAAGGTCTGAAGATGGATCACAGTAAAAACTTAAGCAAATTGTTTGCTTAAGCAAACTCCAAGCAAGCAATATATTTCCATGGAAGTTGCTGACAATGATTTAATAGAGTAGCACAGTACCATGATGCAAACAGAAGAGATCTTGATCCTAACTCCGCTCAAGCTGATGGAAATCAGGAGTCTGGCTTACCTGGGCATTTTACTTAATTCTTTCAACCAACTGCTGCTCTTTTTGCCTGCAGGGCATGTATCTCTATGAAGCAGAATATTTGCTTAAGTAGTAAAATGCAGGTGAAATCCTCAAATCCTACTTTGAACAAAGAGGTTCCTTAGCTCACTTCTCAATATTTAGTCTAGATCCTGAGTAAAAAACAATGCCATGATGTCTCTCTATGCCTATAGCCAACATGTACGTCCAGTTTGTAACCCTTTTTAATGTGCTGCAGCTATACTGATGCACAGGTGAATTTTCCATTACATACATGAAACTACACCCCTTCATCTACTGAAGCTGTTGCACTCAAACCAATATGCAGCAGTTCTGCAGTGTTACATCAGTAAAAACAATGTGACATAATACAGGGATACTCAACTCTGTCTTGGGAGTTCTACGTACAGAAAAATGTTAATGCTTCAACATACCCTTATATTTTATACAAGTATATATAAATATATACTTATATTTTTTATCTTCGATAAAAACAATACAGTTCATCACATTAAATGGCTTCCATTACCTGTATGAAACTCCATTAACAGAATTAAAATTTCCTAGAATTATGCTGAAATTATACCTGAAGAAATGGCATAATACAGTTTGGGAACAATATAGAGGAAGCACTACCTATTATTTTCTTTTCACATACATCACAGCAACTCTATCAATATCTGTTGATCAAGAGACCTAAAGCAAACACTCTTTGCTGTTCACATAAGGCTGAAAATTGCTGATGTCAGAATATTAATTATGCCATTTTTTGGCCAGAATGAGGTACACAGTAACCAAAAGGCAGCTGCTGCTCCCAGAGACATATAGGAACTTAAAGTAGGGGCAAAATCCTAATAATTTGTATTCAGGACACTTAAGCCTTTTTCTGCTTTATATCTTCATTTTATAAAACCGAAACTGTGTGGAATTGTTTCACAAAACTCAGTCTTTACAGGTTAAGCTTCACACATGCATGAAAAGTATCAAAGTGTAAGTGCCTTTTGGCACTCCAAAAACTGTACTATATGCCTTAAAAGAAACTGCATTGGATCATATATACAAAAGTATTAAATACCTAGGGTTTTGGTTTTTTTCATAAAACAAATACTTTTGACACTGGTGCTGTATGCAAATTCTAGTAATAGTGTTCACTACATTTATCTTAGTGAACAGAAATAATTTTACAGACAATAAAATAATACTAAACATGTAAATGGACCTCAAGCTTATCTAGTGCTAAAACTCAGAAAGCATTTCAGATACTAATATTTTAAAAGACACTGTCTGCTTTGAAAATATTATAAATTCAAAAGCCCTTCCATTAGAAAAAGTCATACTGGCAATGGGATCAGAAGTTTTCCTTCCAACTATCCATCATTTTGAGAGTAAGGTTCCTAAATACAGTCCAGCTCAGTTATGCAATTTTGAAAATGGCTTATTATTAAGGACCCTGTTTTCTCTTTCTAATTCTACTGTTGTGAAATAACTCAGTAAAGAGTGTAGACTATCAGCCATCAGGAAAGTGGGAAGGGGTGAAGGAAAAATGGCTATTAAGGGAAAGTGAAACTGATGGTCAACTCCTGGTATTATCCATACAGGCTCCTTCACTGCACATTCTGCTAGTCTGTTGGGGGGGGGTTTAAAGATAACTGATAAAAATGTGGTATCAGCCTGTGAAGAGAGCTGGAACACCTCCAAAAAGATTATTCAGAAAACTGCCTAGAGCCAGCTAACAAAACTAACAACAGAAGCAGAGAAACCTCAAGCTGCGTGAACACTTCAATTCTTCAAACATGCTAAGTCCACATGAACTGCTTTCCACCATGATGTCTGGGTTCCAGCCCTTGCAGGAAACTTAAAATATATTATCAGTAAAACTATCATATTTCATCTGAGAACCTTGGATGGTTTGTGCCCATAACATGGGCACAACTGGAATTTCCTACTTACATCCATTCTTGGCAATATTTAAAGCAGGTTTTTGCAAAGCTGCAGGGAAGTGTCATGTCATGAAGAGTTCCCTGAAAACAGTCCAGCAGTAGCTCTACCAGCTTAGTGATCCAGCTGAGCTGCATTTCTGCTCCCAAACCACAAGCCCTGGACCTCATGATGAGTCACTGCTCTTTCCCTAGCAGTTACTGTCTTTAGAGTGCAACGTTCCAGCAGCAGTTGTGCACCCCCAAAGCATTTCAATCAGCTGAAGAAGAGCCTCCAACTGCAAAAACAATGCAGCAGCCACTGCCATATCCCACCCAAAAGCAACTGCCATCACGTGGAAGTGGAAAAACTTCCTGCAAGAGCCTGTGGTGCAGGACCCCGCAGAACTGGCTTTCCTGCACTCCCAAAGTTACCATTTGCTTCCTATTTATTCCTGTAAAACACAACCACATGAATGTTCAAAGGAAGTGAAGCCAAACAGGTAAAGCAGAGTAGCAGCCACAGATCAGTTTTTAAAAACTGCCAAACATTCAGAGAAAGGGTTTCAAAGTTCTAAATATATATATTTTTAATTCCTACACAAAACATGGATGCAAAGAGTGGGCTTACATTTTTATGCTGGGTTGTGGTGGGGCTTTCAAAAATTGACAG